GTGTCAGTAGAAGTAAAAATGAAGGAAGTTTTCAAGGCACAGACAGTATTACATTAAAATCAGAAGCATGAATTATATTTTGTTTATAAAGGCACCATTTTCAAAGGGAATTTTCGTCATGAATGTATATTAAAGTAAAATGTTTTCTTTTAATGGGCAACAAAGATGGCATAGTACATCATAACACTATAGACATGATAGGAAGGAATATGAAACAGAATCCTATTTCATAGAAATTTAAATGAGGAATTTTTTTATGAATGGGTCTGAAAAATTGCTCACAGTATTATTTTAGTTATCTAGATACAAAATATTTAATGTTTTCTTTCAATTTCTAGTTTTTAAGTTAAAGTGGTAACCTTTCTTACAATATTTCTTTTTCAAGGTCATGTACTTTACAGAAGCTGACACTAAAATCTGTATAGATATTTTCTGACTTGGCAAAATACTTAGCTAAAAGAACCGTTACTGATTATGGAATGTATAGTCAGCAAATGACAAAAACAAACTAAGAAGTCGTAATTTATTATCATGAGCAATTAAGAGTTGTGAGAAGTTATGTGAGGAAAAAGGGAAACACTTATGGAAATAGTGGACTTAAGTTATGACACTAATAATGAGATCATTCAATTCAGGATGTTAAATAATTCAGTCTGATGAATTCTAAATGCAATTTCTCAACATTAACTATCACTGAATTATTTTCACTACCTTATTTTTGTGACCTCTTTAATGTAAGCCATTAATTTGACATTAAATGGTGAAGTGATTATAACATGTAACAGGGCATACAATAAGGTAAATGATTGTGAGAAATCAGATAAAGTTTAACAGGCTTCTTGATACTATAAAAAGAATCTTACTCTTAGAAAAAGAGACTATATGCTCACACATATTAGCTGTACTGTAAGACTTCAGGTAGAAGAAAACAGTGTGACCACAATTCCAGTTCCTCTTCACAAGCCTTGTTATGAAATGCAATGCCACCAGACAATACAGTCCCATGTAGTTCCTCTCGTTGCCCAACAGCTAATACTGTCCATGGCTAAGTAAAGGACTGAACCTTCCAAACTTACTTGCATATGAATAACATCACAACTACAGAATACCTTCTGCATTATGTGAGTAATACCTGTCTCAGTAAGATCTGTTCACTTTTTATGATTTGTAGCAAATTATGGGGAAAAAAATCAAGACATTTAGTTCCCAAGAGGCAATCTCAGACTGTTCTGAATCAAAACCAATTGGAGGGGGGCAAGGAGGAGGAAATTTCAGTTGAGGTAAGTTAGCCACCAGGAACATCCACCGTTTTCTTGCCATTAGCACTGAGGTGCGAGATGCACAGAAACAGAAGTCCCCAAAGTGATCACATGTTAGAGTTTAACACCAATCCATCCCACCCTATCACTCTTAGGGTGTTGGATTCTTATGGCAGACTGCCTAGCACTAGGAGGCAAGTTTGCAGTTTTGCATAAAACTTTCTGGGCCTCTTGAATGCCTTTCATCTTATGCACACAGTTCTTCCTCCTCTGTCTACTGTGGGATCTCATCAGTTAGTTTAATTTACAGATTACACTAATAGGGAGGAAACTTTCCTATAATGTTTAAATTGCTTGGTTATTGCTGACCTTCATATTGAGGAAGGTGGAGGACTACAGTTTCTTTTGTAGAACAATGCCACAAAGGCCAAATTAGATGAGTAATAGAAGAAAACATCCACTCCCCTTTGGAGATTCTTGATTGTTTTATTTTGTTGTGTTTTGTTTTGTAACTGTTCTTTGATTTTTAAAGGCAAAGGAGTTAGGAACTACAACCTGTGGAAGGCTTGTGCATTTTCTCAGTAGTTAGGGTGGCTCCTCTTCCTGGTTGATAGCATGCTAATATGCTGAATCTTTGGAACTCCTGAATTTATTGAGGTTGAGAGATTCAATTGCCTGCATTCTTGACAGACAATTCATCTGATCAGGAGAATAGCAAAATAACTAGAATACATTCTTGAGAAGATGCTAGGAAGAGATGAGGATCATATCCATGTTTCTTAGGATGTTTCAAGGTCAAGATTTTCTACAAAGAAAAAGTTTGGGGAAAGCCAACAAAAGCACTTAAGAAATGGAAAAAGACAGTAGGAGTGGTTGATTCTGGTTGGGAGTGGGAGAAAGGAATAGAAATTTGCTGTCAGACAACACCAGAATAAGGGATGGACTTTATATTTAGACTGCATGCTCCATTACTTATCCCAAATGTTTCGACTACTTTTCCTTCTGTTCAGTGCTATCTTTGCAGAATAATTCTGAGCAATTTGAGTAAAAAAAAAAAATCAAAATAAGCTGAAGTGAGTTTAGGAACTTCTGTGTTGCTGAAATTGCATTTGAAAGATCTGCTGTTTATTTCAGTGATATAACAGTCTTTTCAATTTATTGCCAGCTTCTTCCATGAATTTGACAGTTTAATATTTTGTGACAGTTAAAGCTTTACTTTATGCAAATGTACTTTGATTTCAGGCATTCTGAACAAATTTATTACAGGTCTGTCTCACAACAATAATGAAAGAAGATGGAAAGCAATATGTAGCCAATAACATTTTTTACACTTTTCTGCCAGGCCATACTATGTGGCTTCAGCTGAGAAATGAAAAATAATTTTGTTGAGCATAACCCTATAGAGTCTAAAGAGAGTTCTATGCATTTCAGTTCTGACATTTAAATCCTGTATGCAAGTAACATCTGAGTCATGAGAAGCTCACACCATTCTGTCATGCACCACTTATTAGTGACGTTTCTTGACCTTATAAAAAAAAATTCTGACAAAGGAAATGAGTATCCATAGTTGCTTTACCGTAAAAAGGTATTATTTAATATGAATAGCCTCATTCCAAACCCTGAAGTTCAATGAAATAGCTAGTATGAGTTTAATAAGTTCGTTATAAAAGGACGGTATTTCAAGATAAACAATTTACAGATTGTTATACAGCTATCTTTTTGTACTATTATATTCAGAAGGCATGCAGCACCAGATATGCAAATTAGGCAACAGTAGAAATGTTAATGGAAAAAGCTGGAAGAAAGGAACAGAGGACCTCATTCTCACCCAGGCTCTTCACAGTAGTACTTGATGGGAGGAAGAGAGCCTAAGTTAGAACAAAAGAGGATCAGACTGGATATAAGGAAAAATGTTTTTTAAGAAAAACATTTTTCAGCCCAAGTAAAGTCAAGAAGTAGAACAGGTGTTCCAGAGAGACTGAACAGTCTCCATGCTTGGAGGTTTTCAAGGTCTTACTGAATAAAGCCCTGAGCAACATGGTCTGATCTTGTCACTGACCCCATTTTTGAGTAGGAAGCTGAAATAGAGACCTCCCATAGCCCTTGCAACCTGAATTATTCTATCATTCTACGAGCATGCAGTACTGCATACCCAACCGCTGGTAAAAAGAGAAAGCTTTCATAAAGTAACAGGAAAAAGGAAAAATGGTTGCCAGATGGGAAAAGAGGTAATAAAGCCCTTACTGCAGTAGCTTTCTCCACCTGTTCCCTATTGCAGCTGTAGAAGGGGGCAGGTATGTTCAAAATTAGGAACAGGAAAGATGTCAGTCTACAAAGTCTGCCTACTAGCTCTGGAATAGGTGATGTGGCTAGAGTGGGGAGTCTGCCAAGCTAATTTAGACAAGTCCTGTTCTGGTCCCCTCAGTTCAAGAAGGACAGGGCACTGCTGGAAAGAGTCCAGCGCAGAGCCACAGAGATGATGAAGGGGGTGGAACATCTCCCTTATGATGAAAGGCTGAGGGAGCTGGGTCTCTCTAGCTGGAAAAGTGGAGACTGAGGGGTGACCTCATCAATGTTTATAAATACGTAAAAGGCTCGTGTCAGGAGGATGGAGCCGGGCTCTTCTCGGTGATGTCCAATGATAGGACAAGGGGCAATGGGTGCAAGCTGGAGCTTAGGAGGTTCCACATAAACCTAAGGAAAAACTTTTTCACTGTGAGGGTGACAGAGCGCTGGAACAGGCTGCCCAGAGAGGTTGTGGAGTCTCCTTCTCTGGAGACATTCAAAACCCGCCTGGATGCGTTCCTGTGTGACGTGATCTAGGTAGTCCTGCTTTGGCAGGCAGGTTGATCTTTCGAGGTCCCTTCCAAATCCTAACGTTCTGTGGTTCTGTGAATTACGGCCAAGGAAGACCATATATTTTAAGGGTAATCTAGAATGCTTCTTTCCTTATGCTGAGTTTTGTTTTTGTGACTCTCTAACAGAATTTAATTCTATTCTTATATTGACAGAACTCAGTAAGCACGTACTGTTATATTTAAGTCTTGTCATGTCATAAATTTGAGTCATCTCACATACAGGGGATACAGCCTTCCCTGGAAAGGCAGACATAATTGAGGTGCACTTAAAGGAAATGTTTGTGCTACTGATATACAGGGCTCCTCATGAGTCTTCAGGTTGCTTCCACACTAGGCTGCAGGTGTCTCTTTGTACTTTTAACACTGGTTTATGCAGAGAAAGCCAACTTATTTGGTATGTCTGGAACTTCTTTGATGAGCAGCAGGAAAGTGGAGAATGGTTTCAGATTTTAGAGGGGCGGGATGGAGAGGAAAGTTGTCATTTTCAACTTGTCACACTAACATAAAACATAGTCAGGATTGTCTTCCCGAGAGTTTTTTTTTTATTCTGTTCATTAGCCTACAAATACAAAAGGCTGAGTTGCATTTCTAAGACTAAACCTTTTTTTGCCTATATATTCAAAACAGTTCTGAAGTTCACGGCTATGATAGTGATTCTGGAAGAGATGGGGAAGCAACTATTAGTTTCACTTTAACTAAAAGTGAAATAGAAAAAAAAAAACCAAACATAAAATGTCAGTATAAAAGATATTAGTAAAGATCTATGAAGATATGTATAAATATGAAAATAATCTCTGATTTCAGGAAAAAAGTGGAGTTGAATGTACAATCTCAGAAAATAACATTTTTATCTTATACAACTTTGTTTCTCTTTTAGTGGCAAAGCATTACTATAACACTGGTTGAGAAAGTGCAGATGGTTGCTGTAATCCTAGGATCTCTGTTCTTAGTAGCAAGTGTGACTTGGCTTCTATGGTCAGCCTTCAGCCCTTATGCAGTATGGCAAAGAAAGGACATCCTTTTTCAAATCTGCTATGGAATGTATGGTTTTATGGATCTAGTATGCATAGGTAAGCTCAAAATCTTTAAACAGCACAGACTGTTGTTTAAGACTGTGACTATATCTATTTTTCTAATTGGTCACGCTAATCGATCACTCCAGTTCTTTGCAGATTTATTCTCAGCTGATACCTTTGGCAAATACTGCTTTTTACAGTGTTACAAGTACTGCAAAGAGAAAAGAACTAAAGAAGCTTTACTCTCAGATTCATCAAAGTGTGTCCCCAAGGTCTTAGTGGTAAGAACAGGATCAGTTTTGATTTCTTGAAAAAATAGATGGCTAGCAAAGTTCAGGAGGTTAAACAGATTAAAATGACAAAGACATTATTAAAATAATTAGTAAAAGTGTGTGTTGTCAAGTCTTCTACTGATGCCATTTTGCATTAGATTGTACCACCATGAAGCATAGAAGAAGCCCTTGAGGATGTCATCAAACTACATATCCAAAATAAATTTGCAGAGCCTTATATACGTCACTGTGGTAGTAACAGAGAAGAACAGAGAAGACAGGCATGAGTTCTTTGTACATCATAAACAGTTATGAAACACTCTAATATTACTAACTGTAGTAACTTACTTTACTATTGAAAGGTCTCATGTCATTTAACTCTGGCTGATATCTTTTAGAAGAAAACACAATTTATTGCAAAGCTATTTTGACCAATTTTGAAATTTCTGAAAATACGCTGGACCCAGAAGCATTTAAATATAAATTCCTTTAGTATTTGATAAAACAACCTTAAATTGATTGTTAGAATAGCTATGATTATTTGCAGAGAAAATTTAATAACTGCAGTAAACATTAAACCACATTCTTAGAATTGCAATTCCAAGAAAATCCAGAAGTCAAATGCTATCTGATATTTGCTTTGAGATTTCTGAGTGATAAATGTTGATGTTATCCCAGTCTCATATATGGGAAATCAGAAGGACAGTGCTGAATTCTGCTCAATAAGGCACAAAGAAACAGAGTGATTCCTAATATCAAGGCTTTTGCTCCAACCATAAAGCCATATCATCTTTTATTGAAACCATCGCATTACTGTGAAAGCATTTATATTTCAGCTGGATCAGCAGTTCTATTTATTTTGTAATTTTTCTAAGAGAAGCCCGATCTGGAATATTTTAGAACAAAGACTTTCTTCTGTGAACCCAAATCTCCTCAGACAGAAAAATGAACAGAATCTAGGTCTCTAATACTCTGGACAAGCACTTCGCTTTTAAATGAAAAAAAGGGCTCAGCTACATGTCCTCTTACACGCTGAATACCACTTTTTCTGGCTTAACACTCAATATTGAGGGTTTTGCTTTTGTTTAAAAAAACATTAAGTGAAGACAAAATGTGCTTCAGGCATTCTAAACATATGGAATTATGGTTTTTTCACAAAGATTAAAATTGTAAAAAATTTATGTTCGTATGCATCAGCTAGTTGGAATAACCTGTTATTTCAAACTATTTCCATTTCTTTCCATTTGTTTGACTGTTAAAACAGCTAAACCAAATTAATGTCAAAAACAATTGAGAGCATCTGTGGGTGATCAGAAATGTTAGTGTATTTATCTATAGAAGTAAACTATTGGAAGGCGAACCTTCAATAGATCGGTACATGCAGTTATGTAGCTGCCCTTCAAGCCAGCCAGACTCAGGCCACCTCTGGACTGGAAGCTACTGAACTTACATGTACCTCACATGACTATGGAGCTTGTAGCCTAACTGGCACCATGCAGGAGCAAAGTAGATGTGCAGCTTTCTTCACCCACCAGAGAAACTGACTTGCCTGTAATTACATAAATGCATATTTTATTGTCTGATCATAAATAATGCATGAAAATTTTTATGTAAAACTGACTATAATTAAACATATTTGGACACTGTTTTGTAATTATGAAGTTCAGTGCAGGTATGACTTAACAATTTACAGACTGTATCTGGAAATTCAGAAAACTATAAAGGAGATTTGGTAATTGCAGAAGTCTGATTATCCAGATTCATTCAGTCTGCTTATTCTGCATATAATTTCAAGTAATCCGAATTCTGTAAGCTTGTAAGACCAGGACGTCTTGTAACTCTTGAAAATATTTATTAACGTATTCAACTTTATTCGATTCTATTGTTTTCTTTCATCATAAAGTGAGGCATTTTAGATTGATAGTTTAAACATTCAAACGAAGTTCTCTAAGAGATGGATATAATTATTACTCATTAATGATTTTTTTTTAAAAAAAACAACACTGTCCATTATGCTGATGACTTCCCAGAGCTATTAACATACGATTTTACCATTGCATGTTACATATAATCTCTTATATCATAAAGCTTGTGATGCTCACAGCCAGCCACAGTTCTCACTTAATATCTCCTCTCTTCTCATTTGTCTTTAGTCATCCATGGCATTCTCTTAGTTTTCAGCAGGGTTTACAGTGAGTGGATACCCGTACTCCCACTGGAATCTCTTTGTTTCAATGAAAAATCTATGCAGACATACAGGTTTTCCTGTGCAGCACATATTTCAAGACAAGTGCTTGAGCTACTGGTGGTATGACCGAGACTTATTACAACTGTCTTTAGTTAGCCCTCCCTACATCTTTGCATAAACAATATGAATATCTGCACTTTTTGAAACGTTTTGTGGTAATTATTTTTAAAAGCAGTTTGCCTAAAGGTGCAGACATGTTTATATGACATCTTTGAAAACTTGCACGTATTTGTTTTCCCAATGACTGATTTATATATCATATGTAGCATAGCACCCACTTTCTTATCAGGTAAATTACATTTAATTTGGTATTTTAATTCTTGATCTTGTTTTACTTTTCACCAAAAGAAGTATCACAAAGATTGCAGATCACCAATATACTATCTTCTACTCATTCCGGTGTACGTATTTTATTGGTATCCATTGTTCTCCTTGTTCCACTCTAATTTTTTCCAGAATTCTTCCTAACATGATCGTTTTTACTTATCAGTGTTAACTTTAACTCTACAAGTCACTCTTTTGTACTTTTCTGCATCTAAGCTGGGCGTAAAGCTGTTCTCTTTGAAACTTGATGATGGTAGAAGTTTTCCTAAGGCAAACCTTGAACATTTTATTCAAGTAGAATTGCCTGTGAAACCCAGAGCTGACGCAGTGACAGTGCTAGGAATGAATAATATAAACCCCTTATTTAGTACACCAAGGCTTCGCCGTTCTACTTTGTAGACCTAGCAATTACTTCTCATAACAGTGGAGTCATATAATTTTATATATTTTCACTGGAATCTAATCATAACTAGTAGTCATAAATGGTTCTAACATGAACAAAATCTCTCACAAATAATAACAGCTCACTCACAATCCCAGAACAACAGTGCAGCTCCTTTAGAACTCGAAAAGCAGTTGTAACATTGCCCTAGAAACATGAGTGGTGCCAGTAGTACTACGGCAAGGGAGCAAGAGATGGGGGGCAATATGAGGTGTGAAGAGCCCTCTGAAAGCCTCTTTCTTCCCCACTAAGGAACCTGATGCCTAGCAACATTCATGTAACTCCTTAGTTGTAAAAATGTACAGGCTGAAGTTACTTACAATGAACTCACATCTAGCTGCACTTAATATTTCTCTACTCAGTATTTCTTTTTCCACATTAGATATAATTCTAAATAGCTTAGAAAGAGTTATATTGCTATTTTTAGAGTGGACATGTTTCACTTTAATGCTTTGAGCAATTTATTGCTTTTGTTTTTAGTATCTGTGGGCCCTAGAATAGTATTAAGACGTGGCATTTTGTCCAGTGTTAAAGTCAGTTTCTGAAAAGGGTCTTTTATTCCCTGGTAAATAAGATGTTTCTGGGAGGACCACTCTTAAGTGATTCTAAGTAAGATTGGTGTGATAAATACAACAATGTTGGTACCTAATACCACTAAATCTGAATGAACTAAGACAAGTTGCCTGCTTGAAAAGACATTTAGTATGAAAAATTTCAAGTGGCCTTGTGACTCAATAAGAAATCCTTTTGCTAGAGTGAAAGAATCTAATAGTTCTTGGCAATAAAAGAAAAGAAAACCATGCTCTCTCCATAATCCTGTGGTCTGGATCCCACTACAATCCCTACACCTTAGAAATAAATCCTGCAGGTAAAGTCTTCTTAGAGCTTTAGGATATTTTGCCAGGTCCGTCATTCCAAAACTGTTCCTCACTGATGTTAATTGGACAGTGAACAGTAGGGAATTCTAACATTTCCTCTTGGGATCATCTGGGTCAAATTATTTATTTTTTTTTTTTTCCCAGGACTGTGCAGCTAGGTCCTGTGTGCTGTCGAAATCATGGTATTTGGAACAAGTCAGTATTATTCATGGATTTATCCTCGTTTTCTCTCTCATATCCTCATTCATTGCTGTGGAACTCTAAAGAAAAAGGAGATTCTTTGCCATTTTCACTTTAGTGACTGAATACTTATATTTTGAGCACCACAACTTGTCTGGACCTGGAAAATCTCCAGCATTTAAACCTTACCGAGATTTCCTCTTGTTTGTAGTCTTGGAACCGCTGGTTTCCCCGCACCCCCTGGAAAATATCTTTCAGAGAGACAAAAGATCTATTGGAATTCTTTTGCATTTTCTACATATGTCTTTTTCAATCTGTAGTTTTACCAGATGGGAAATAAAGCTTTTGATTGGAGGAATTGTGAAAATGCTCCTTTTCTCCCTCAGCATTGCCAAATCTCACAGCTTTATTTCAAGCCTTGCAACATAGGATCCTTTGTTAGGTAGCTCTTTTAGAGTGTATGTGACCAATGGCTTCCATTTTAAAGAAAGTTTCTCTTCCTTGCCACTGTCAGGAAAACTTTGGAAACATGATTTCAGTGAATCCTGAAAGCTCAAAAACAGTAAAGAAGGGCTCCCTAAAAGAAGTCATCCCACAAATTTTCTGTCATAATTTTGGGAGGATACTTTTGACTGTTTAAATGTACTTCATGTACATCAATGATCCTTTCTCAACTGCTACCTTCTCTATTCTGAAATATGTTGTTCAAGTTCCAATGGAGTGCAGGCAGCTATCAAAAATCTTTACATTGGGGTAAATACATTCTTTCAATTTTGCTTCAGCACAGTCTTGAGGGAAATTGGACCAAAGAATACTATGATCCAGTGGCAGAGGGAAAATTACGCTCATCTCCCTTATTCTATAGGAAATCCAACAGAAAAAAAAAAAAGGGGGGAACCTTTGTCACAGCAATAAAACCATGGCTTGTTTGGTTTGTAGATTCCAAACACATTTATCCTTTTTAAGACAGTATAGCCAGTCTTGAAGGTGCCTTTATGTATTAACATGGCCGCTAACTTTTTAGGTTGCTTTATATATATCTGAGAAGACAGACGTCTTGCAATCAAGAAAATTTTCCACTAAAATGCTATGCTGATATAAAATACATTTAGAATATTTAACATTTAAGTTTATATTATATTAGTTTTGCTGTACCGGATGCTTCAACGAATTCTAGGCAACTTGAAAGCCTTACAGAGGTGCTGCATTTGCTGTCATGTCCTTCTGAAAGCACTCTTTGTGTTTCTCCATCTTTCAGTGTAATGATCTTTAAAGATGTGTTAGAGTAGGCATTGCTATCTGCAAATCATTGCACTTGAATCTGAGGTTTGCTGTTCATATAAATGTTTTTATTGTCCTTTCTGCTTGTGTCATCTTTCTTTGAATGTCTCCTTTCTGGTATCAGTTAACCATGCTAAGAGACCTCAGACACTTAAATCACAATTTCATTGTGTAGGAACTGGTGATACACAATCTCTTGGGATAAAGGGCTCTAACCTGGGACATATTATAGACGTGGCCATGCATAGTAAAATCTTAGGCACAAAACACACTGGACAAAACATTTATAAATGTTTTTGGCTAGGCAAAGTGCTCTCCTCCCAAAGCAGGGAGGCAAAGAAAACATATGACATGGCTCAGAACCATATGAGTTACCAGGCTGGTTGAGGAAAAACCTAATAAGAGGCTGAAGCCCCATGCATCTCCCCAGTAAATCCATTTTTGAAATACTTACACATAAAGAGTGTGTGTATAAATATATCTACATATAAATATGCATACATAGCAAAAATGAAGAGTTTCACTCAAGTAGATAAATTACTTGAATGCATACAACAAGCATAAACCTTAGCTCCATGGAAGTTCATAAGCAGATTGGTCTGAGGACTCCAGATAATCTGTATGTTCCTTGAAGAACCTTTTAAAAGATTTCCTAGGTCTCAACAAAAAAAAGATGTTTCTCAACTTTTGTCTACTGAATTTTGTAGACAAAGAAGAAAGCCTACCATCCTTGCCATGCTTGTCGTAGTTAATAATAACATTTAATTTCTTCTTGCTCTACTGAAACAAGACAGGAAAGCCATTATACTTACAACTGTTTCAGGTTTTCATAAATCTTCTGTTCTCCTAAGTTGGACTAAGAATGTGAAAACAATTAAATTTGTTAGTATCTTTACTGAATTCTACAGAACACTCTTAAACAAATTTAAGACCTTCCTGTTCATTTCAGAAGGTCTAACCTACTCAAAGATCTACATAAACCAGTACAAATTTCAGCAAATAAATAGTACTTCCCACGAACAAGGATAACACCAGCTTAAACAGTCAATTTACAAATCTGCCACTAAGGTTCTTTTATATTGGTTTACCTAAATCTAGTTAGGCATGCTCAGATTGTTCCAGTATTAGTTATGTTGAGCTTTCATTGAGAACAATTTTATTTCCTCTGCATGTTCCTGCCTCCCAATCTTAAACACATGAATAACCAGTTATATTGCATTTGTACAACTTATTTGAATTATCAGAATTTACGAGTAATTTAATAGTCTCTGGCAATTGCCAGATTCATTACAATGTGTTAATCTCTATTTGCTCTCAAAATAGTATCCATTGACACTTTGTACAAACTTTTTTTTTTTCTCTTAATTTCAGGACTGATCGTACATGAAGGTGCATCTGTTTATCGAGTGTTTAAGCGCTGGAGAGCTGTGAATCTACACTGGGATGTGTTAAATTATGACAAAGCCACAGACATAGAAGAGAGCAATCGAGGAGAGTCCTCATCAGGAAGGACATTGTGGTTACCACTGACTGCATTTAGAAACAGAAGTTTAGTTCACCCTACACAGTTGACCTCACCAAGATTTCGGTGTGGCTATGTGTTGTTACATCTGTTCAACCGCATGAGACCTCAGGAAGATTCAGCAGAGGATAACGGCTCTGGGGAAGTAGTGATGAGAGTGACCTCAGTGTAAAGCTTATGCTCGCTGTGCTACGCAGATAAGGATAATGTGCCCTGATGTTACAGGACTTTGGAATGTAGTTATGATGAATGGTGAAACCATTAACACTTGAAAAATATATACACATTTTTTTAAAAAATAATGCTTTTTTATATGATCAGCTAAAACACAAATACATTTTTCTGGGGGAAAAAAAAAAGTCTCTTGCTTTTTATATAGTCTGGTTTATTAGACCTTTTGTCAGTTTGTACCTGAGGTGTATACAGGTTTAAATATAGTTTAACTCTTAGGTCTTTGAATGATGAGAAAACTCATTTTTAAGTAAAAAAAAAAAATATTTACATGTATTTTCTTAAACTGGCTTTAACCCACTTCTGTTATTTTTCCCACTTTCATGAGGATTAAACTGAACAACCTTCTTCCAAAAAGAAAAAGTCTTGACACTAGTCAAGTATTCTTCCTTTTTCTGTCTTTATTTTGTTGTTGTTTGTAGCTCAGCTCAGGTGTACGAAAGTAAGTAAGGGATATGTTGTCCCTTGCCTTTAAGCAGGAAGTCCAGTGGGTGTTCTACAAAACATAAGGGAAGATGTGAACTCTTCTTTTCTTTTAGCTCTTGCACATGATGTGCAAGACGTCAGGCACAAGTATGACACAGTCAGGGGAAGAGCCTTACCCTTCCTCTCAAGTCTCTAAGATCTGCAGTGCTGGTGCTGTGCCTGTGCACAGAAGTGACCTTGCCTTCCGGGCAGTGGTGCTGAATTTAGCAGCCTGAGAATTTCTAGTGCCATTCTAACTACAGGACATTGACATCCCTTTTTTTTTTTTTTTTTTTTTAAAGAAGAAATGTACATTACAACTGCTGGAATAATAATAAATCCTAATGGAAACTGAAGTAGAAGTAATGCAGAGCCTTAATTTTACCAGGTACTGAATCATCATGTTAAAAATGAGCCAATATTCATCTTTATCACAACAGCTAATTGATGCTGTGAAGTTTGCTTCTCTGTTTTTGTCTCATGGCAAAAATTCTGATATCATTTAGTCAAATGGAAATGGAAATAATTTCCAAGTTAATAATTAAGTCTGCTGACGATCAAGATGAAAAAGTAAGGCTGAAATGACTCTGAGAGTGATGGCTTACTTATAACAATTTGTGGCGAGCTGACCTTGGCTGACTGACAGATGCCCACCCAGCTGCTCTCTCCCCCTCCTCAACAGGACGGGGAGGAGGGGGGATAAGGTGAAAAAGCTTGTGGGTTGAGATAAAGACAGGGAGATCACTTACCAATTATCGTCACAAGCAAAAAAGAGACAACATGGGGAAAATTAATTTAATTTCTTGCCAACTAAAAGAGAGTAGGATGGTAAGAAACAAAGACAAAACTTACACCACCTTCCTTCCACCCACCTCCCTTCTTCCCAGGCTCACCTTCAGCCCTTCACTCCCAACTCCTCTACCTCTTCCCCCCAAGCAGCACAGAGGGATGGGGAGGAATTTGTGAAAGAAACAGAAGATGTGGAGAAACACAAGATGAGAGAAACTATGACTGGGGAAACCTGCTGTGTCACTGGGAATTACTTGTTTTGATTACTACTTAAATGAAGCCCGCTTTCCCAGAAGGACCTCAACTCCACATGACCGAATTGAGATCAGAGTTATTTTTTCAACAAGCACTTGTAATACAAGGAGAATAAGGGATTCTGTGATCAATATTCCTAAAAGATTATGTCTCACACCTTTTAGGTTCTTGTGATCTCTGGGATTTAAAGAATATTTCAGTGGTCTTTTACAGGTTCCTAAAAACAAATCGAGAACTGTATGAAAACATTTTGTTGTAAAGAAATCTTGTTCATTCATATCTGAATAATAACTGTGCTAGGAAGAAAAAAAAAAACCAAACCTCACCAGGAAAGATCAACAGATGTAATTTTAAGAGATAACAGGGGTTTTGTGTACAAATATTTGAAAGATACCTGGGTCCAGAACACTTACAGCTTCTGAGGGAAAAAAATGGTTCAATTAAGAGTAACAAAAATTAACAGTGAGAGAAATGTTTAGGGCAAATATCAGAAAAGCCTTTTTAACAGTAGGATTAATCATCATTAATAATTTCTATGGCACAATAATTTTGCATATATATCTGCATTTATGTGTTTCTATATGTAGAAAGCAATATCAGGAAATGATAAACAGTGGCAGGATTAGTATGGGCAGGGTGCAGTTGTAAAAAAATAATGAGATCTATGGCTGTGTTGTCCTGTGGAGTATTTTCAGTAGCAAGAGTGCCTAGTGCAGGATATGAATATTTCTTTTTGACCTTGTATTTGGATTTGTGCAGTGCTGCCGTGCTGTGATCAAGTGCTGACATGCAAGACAGATGGATTCAAATCAGAACAGGTGCAGAGAGGGGATATTAGGATGAAAAAGGAGTAGGGACTGTATTTCACATGAGGAAATTAAAAGAACATGGCTTGTGCAGCTTAACAAAAGATGAATGTTATAATTCTCAGTTAATACATTGCAGAATACAATTAATTTCAGGCAAAGAACAAGCCTAAGAAGCACAAGAACTCAAGGACACAAATAGATCATAAATAAATTTATCTGGAAGTTCAAGGTAGTTTTAAAATATTAATTGAATGAATCACAGACAACAATTGAAGTTGGAAGGGCCTGTGGGAGGATGTCTGTTCCAAGCTCCAGGGTCAGCTCTGAGGTCAGACCAGGTTGCTCAGGGCTTCAAGCAGTCAGGTCTTAAAATCCTCCAAGGATGGAAATTGCACAACCTCTCTGGGCAGCCAGCTTCACTTCTTGACTGACCCCAGAGTGAAAAAGTATTTCCTTCTATCCTACCTCTTCTCTTGTTCCAGCTTATGCCCATAGTCTCTCATTCTCCCATAGTGCCCCCCTGTGAAGTTATGTACTAGGGAACAGGAACATTTTCTAATGATTGAAAAATATGAACTGTTAGCAGGTTTTCTGAAGAGAAATTAAGATGGACTTTAAAACATTTAATCTTTCTTGTTTGCCCTACATGAATTAATATTCATAAACCTTGTAACAATGTAAAAAAACCCAGTTACTAGAATTACCTATTAGCTCTTGTGTAAGAGGAGATAAAGCAGTGTTCAGGGCTGAACTTGCTACATTAGAACACCAGAAATACCTTTAAAAACTGGTAATACTTATATTTCATTTTATTAAAATCGGAGATGAAGTTTCAGATCTTTCCACATTAAGAAATTTGTCAGGTGGATACTGACGTTTCTCCTGGATTTAAGAAGAGATACTTACAATGCACTCACAGTCTGAGTTAAAGGTGATGCATACCTTAAAACCAGTTGCATGGCAAAAAATAAAAAGGAAACATGAGGAGATGGGCTCCTGAGAAGCACAAACAAACGCCTTTCAAAGATCCCCCACAGATAATACAAAAATAGTAATCGGTAGCATAATTTTCTCCTGCTGTGATAGCAGTCAGCTATCCTGAAGTCATGTAGAAACCTGTGATCCTCCTCCTGCTTAACGAGTTCTTGTCTGACAAACTGAAACTATCCTTTCCCCTGGAGTCTCCATATGTACACCCTCCAGCTGAATTTGACCCTGACTCATCACCCTCAGTTCAGAAGACCTTGGCAGTGGGATTCAGGTGCTGTCCTGTGAAGGCTGAAAGATGTATCAGCTGGCTGAAAAATTGTAAAAGCCTCATAAAATGATGTTTTCAGCATTAAGCGGCTGACAGGAGCCAGCCACAGAACTCGTTTTAACACCAGTCCAAGCAAACTCTGTTGAATCAAGTCCATGCTGGCAAGTCCATCAGAGTGCCAGAATTCAGGATCTGCCATGGGCACAGACCAGAAATGGCACCAGGGTCACTGCCATAGCAAGAGTTAAGGTGAATGAAAGGGGCTTGGACAGCGATGGCTTGGTGACCCAGAGAACTTCCTCCAGCTTCCACAACTCCTTCCTGGCCCAAAATCTCTCTATCCTACACGTGAAGCTGCAAGAGGAATAGCCAAGCTTCTAAAAGTAAAAATTATGTTGAATAATTCATCCACAGGTCCCATTTCCTAGGCTGGAACACCACTAGCTCTTGATGAAAGACTACTTCTCCCCTGCATTATTTTCAACTTTTGCCTACTGGTTTTGAAAAAGGGGGATAAAAATGCAGCCAAAACCAGGGAACTTTTTGGTTTTTTAAGGGAGCATATCAAAGTCACCACACGCTCCTCATCCAAATATTGCTAGAATTCAAAATGTTGAACTGAAGCAGCTAAGTCTTCAAAGAGGTGAAAACTGAACTCTACTGTAGGAGACAAACTGAATGTGAGCACTGTTCCCCCTTCACCATGCCCCCGTGGTAAGGCTTCACCTAATGCAGCGCCATCTACCAGCTGCCTGGGCACAGTCCGTGGGAAGTCTCAGTGGGCTCCATCACCACTGGGGCTGGCTTTGGCTCTGCTCTCTGCTGCCAGCAGGGGCCTCTGGCAAGTCCTCGCCTGCAGTGGGTCTCAGCCCCTCTTTGCATTTCTGCTCCGTCTCAGACATCCCTGTCAGCAGGACTGCCCCGGAGGAAGGTGTCCCTTCCCCAAGTGCAGCTCAGCCAGAGAGCTGCAGTCAGGGCTTGACAAACAGGCAGCTGTTCTCCCTCCTGCCCACTACGCAGCAACCTGCAGATGCAAAACAGTTTTACCATCAGTCACAAACGTACAAACTCCTCCTATGCAGATGCACATACTTGGCTTTGCTTTTTCTGGTGTAACCAGTCAAAACGAATGGTAGCTAACGTCCAGTGTAGTGACACAAAGTCAGGGCCTGTTGCATTTCTCCTATCAGAGAGCATCCCTGAACATAACTCTTTCATCTCTCTTATAAAGCAAGCAATTAAATCCAGATAAGCCTCAAATAATTTTAGTATAATGTGTTTTGTCCCCTCAGAGACAGCTTCCCAAACTGTGCAGTAGGTCCTACTTATCTAACAAGACAAGGAGATCTGTCATCCAGGCACAGA